AGAAGAGATAAAGAGCATTTATGAAAAACTCATAGCTAACACCATACTTAATGGTGAAAGACTGGATGATATCCCCCTAAGATTAGGAACAAGATAAGGATGTCTGCTTTTGCCACTTCTACCTAATATTGTTCTGGAGATTTAGCCAAAGCAATGGGCAAGGGAAAAAAAAGCATAAGATTGAAAAGAAGTAAAATTATCTCTACTTGCAGATGACATGATCTTATGTAGAGAATACCTAAAATAATCAACAACAACAAAAAAATTCCCAAATTATTAGAGCTAATAAACAAGTTCAACAAAGTTGTGGAATACATGATCCATGTATAAAAATCAGGAAGTAATGACCAATCTAAAAAGAAAATCATTAAACAATTCCACTTATAATAGCATCGAAAAGAATACTTAATAAATTTAGCCAAAAAAGTACAAAACTTGTAACTGAAAACTATAAAACATTTCTGAAAGAAATTGAGGAAGATTTAAATAGAAATACATCTGACGTTCATGGTTTGGGAGACTTACTATTGTTAAGATGGCAGATTTGGTGAGAGTCCCGCAAAAGCGAGTGTCCATAAAGACCCCGCACGAGTGGGGGTGTGCCGGTGGGCGACTGAAAGCCCGTCTGAGGGGAGGTTCGGGCCCAGGCACTCGGGCTCTCCTCCGGAGGTGACGCCAACCCTCCACCACCCTGAGACTGGAGGCCTGGGTGCAGGATGGCCTGCCGTCCTCGGGGCTCTCTCGAGAGGAGGCAGCAGAGAACAGCCGCCCCTCGCCGCCTGGCACCCGGTCCACGCCGTCGCCTGCGGCGGCAGGCCGGGCACGAGTGGGAGGAACCGTGGGGAAGGCAGGTCGCGGAGATCTGGAATCCAGCTCCGACGCCAGTGACGAGAGGCAGACGGGCAGCATCGTCTCCGTCCCCGACCGGGCGGCGACGTGCATTGCCCCTCCCAGCCCTGCCCAGCCTCATCTTCGGACCTAGAGACTATCCTCGCATGCGACTCAGAGAGACAGGCACCCCTCCCAGACGCTGGAACAGGCAGACACGTCCGATCTGACCCGGAGACCGGAGAGCAGCAGCAGAGACCAGGGGAAGTCCCATCCGATCCAGCCTCCACCCACAGCAGTCCGTGGGGCATCGGACACACGCTGAGAGCGGAGGGGAGGGGCTGGAGATCGGAGCCACTCCCTAAGGCGGAGGGGGCTGAAAGGAGCTGGAGTTACAGAAATGGCCACAGGAGGAGATTTTTTTTTCTTCTCGTTTATTTTTTGTTTTAGTTTTTTCCTGTTGTTTTTTTTTAATAATTTTTTTATTTTAAAGATGTGGGGTACAAGCCAAGGTTGGGTATACAAATGTTTATTATGCAGGTACCCTTGTTAATGAGGTGTAACCCCCTCCCCCGGCAAATTCCCAGCACTGCCAATACTGTCCCCCACACTCCCCTCTGGCAATTTCCCACTACTGCCAATCCTTTTCTTATTGTATTCCGACAACTGTACACAGTTCACTTATGAGTGAGAACATGTGATACTCAATTCTTTGTTTCTGTGATAGATCACTCAGTATTATAGCCTCTAAGTCCATCCAAGTTGCTGCAAAGGTTACAATTTTGTCCTTCTTTATGGTTGTGCAATATTCCATCTTGTATATGCATCACATTTTTTTAATCCACTCCTCTTTTGATGGGCAACATGGTTGGTGCCCTGTTTTTGTTATTGTAAATAACAGTGCAATAAAAATGCATGTGCAGGCATCTTTTTCATAGAGTGATTTGAATTCCTCTGGGTATATTTCCAGTAGGGGGATTGCAGGTCATATGGGAGGTTGATTTTTAGATCTTTTAGGAATCAGCACACTGTTTTCCAGAGGTTGTACTAGTTTACACTCCTACCAACAGTGTAGAAGTGATCCCTTTTCACTGCATCCTCTCCAGCATGTTGTTGCTTTGAATTATTAATGATGGTCATCCTAACTGGAGTTAGGTGGTATCTCAGTGTGGTTTTAATTTACATTTTTTGATAATTAGTGAGGCTCAGCATTTTTCCATGTATCTCTTGGCTGTTCATATGTCTTCTTTTGAGAAGTATCTATTCATATCTTTTGTCTACTTTGTAATGGGGCTGTTTGTTTTTTTCTTTTTGACACAATTGACTTCCTTGTAGATTCTAGATGTTAGGCCTTTGTCAGACATATAGTTGGCAAATATTTTATCCCCATCCTATGGGCTGTTTCCCTGCTCTCTCAATGGTTTCTTAGACTTTGCAGAGACTTGTCAGTTTGCTGAGGTCGCACTTGTCTATCTTATCTCTTACGGCATGGGCACTTGGGGTTTTGGTCAGGAATTGATTACCAGTTCCAATTTCCATAAAGGTATTTCCTGCATTTTCTAAGGTTCTTATACTTTGAGATTTTACACTTAGGTTTTTGATATGCTACAACATGGATGAACCTTGAAAATGTTATGCTAAATGAAAGAAGCCAGATACAAAAGGCCTACATTTCTATGATTCCATTTTATATGAAATGCCCAGAATAGGCAAATCTATAGAGACAGAAAGTAAATTCATGGTTTCTAGCAGATGGAGGGAGGAGGAAATTGAGAATAACTGCTAATAGGCACTGGGTTTCCTTTCAGGGTGATAGAAATGTTCTAGAATTAGCCAAAGTTAGGTCATGGAGATAATCAGAAGTGTCTTACTCACAGTATCTGAGTGACCCTGACTGGGTATCTGTATACAAGCGAGCAATCCTTGCCCTAAAACGTGCACCGCCACTCCTTCTGGCAACATGCCTGTTGAGTTGGCCTTGGTGGGACGCGTGTTCTTCTCCTCCCGCCTGTGGTATCTTTTCCTACTCCCTCTCTGAAAAAGATTCAATTCATCTGGACGGCCATCAGCAACAACTTGGAATAAATAATGCATCTTCATTCTTGAAAATCCATCTAGAAACAGTGCTTGAAGGGCAACAACTTAAGAAGCCCAAATACCATAGGTGACTATACGTTGGAACCTTCTCCACCTCCTTTCAGGACTCAGCAAATTTGAAGGTTCAGCAAATAGTGCTACTTGCAGAACACATTCTGTATACTATCGGCAGGACACAGCAATACAGACCACACTGCTGCTTCCTCCATCAGTACAGTTGCAAGAAAATTGCAGTCTCGCCCGACATCAAGGAACATTAAACTCCATGAAGGTCTGTAGCTGCATTAGGAATACTGGGAGATGGGAGTTTCAAATATCTCCGAGAGTAGCTTAAGACGAACAGTCTCCATGCCAACCAACTGGCACATAAGAAGAGCTGTCTCCTTTCCTCAGACACCAGTCTTCTTCCTTCTGCTTCAAGATGGCAAGGCCAATGAACACAAAGTTACTACTAGTTCCTCTGAAGCTTCAAACAATTAAGTACTCCTGGAATTACAGGTATATATTTTGAATGTCCAATTTGCTTTTGTATGGGCTAAGGGAGTCTCAAGGGGGCCATGGGTCATGTGAGTGGATAACAGGAGCCAGGCTGTGTTGGGACTTAGTTGCTACTGGAGTGGAGGTAAATGTCACTGTGGAGAAGCCTCAATTTAACACCTGGATGGAACAAATGCTGTTAGATCTACCATGTAAATAGAGAGCTACAAACAAATGAGGGAAGAATGGAAAGTGGAAAATACCAGAAATATGTCAGGAAATGGAAGAAAAATGTTGAAGTTAAAGGCCCAGGCTAGGATGCTAGAGACCTGCTTTGAGCAGGTAAAGTCCATGTGGTATAGAGCTAAGTCAATTTATTTACAGGTACAGAACTAGGCCAAACATAACAATGTATTTTTGTAATGCAGGCTATCAGCTGTGGCACTGGCCGCTTGACACATCTTCATCAGTGGGAAAAAAATGGATGAAAAGCCTGCCATGACAACAATTTACTTCATGAAGAGAGCGGATTCTGAAATGGTCCTTCTTTTCCATTTAAATAATGTCTCCATCTCCCAAAGAACAGCTTTGGGGCAGGAAAGAACAGTACTTCATTTCAAGCTGGACTACTCATCTACCAAAATACCATTTTGACCAAAGAAACAGATGCAGAATTACAGTCACAGCTGCATTCTGCACAGAACAAGTTGGATAATGGTACTCTAAATTGCTAATTACACCGTTAATGATTTTTTTTTAGTGTCATTGCAGTATTTTGCCACCTTTGTCTAAATTTTTTTAAAAAGCATGTAGAAAGTTTTTTAAATGGTAAATTTCTGTTTTGTTAAATACCAAGTGAGTCTTCCAAAGAGAGATTCCATATAAAACCCATTTCTTGAAATGGCATTCTCATATGGGATTTTGTAGGAGCCCATTTATTGACTAGCTATTTGTTTTAATTTATTGTCTCACCAATTTACTTGCATTTGAGATTACTAAGGTCATAGGTATCTCAGTATTAGTGTTTGTATCTGGAGCCATAGTTGGTATGAAAAGATAACGAATCAGTGTATGTCATGATATGCTGGCACTGGGAATGTGCTATGACAAGATTTACAAAACGTAATAGCAACAGTACAATTTTATTCTTATTGTGATAGCAATGGTGAAATTATAATGTTAGTACTATGTTGTTTAATCCATGTTAGCACAGCTGAGGGAGGTGATTACATTTTTATTATAAAAATGCTGCTAATGTTTTTATTTCATTTTAGCAGATCATAGTATACAGATTAAAAGTACTGCCATTATTCCATATTGCTTCTTGTAAATTTAAGTGGCAGACTATTTTTTTTCTCCACAAATAGTAAACTAATTTCCACTAAATTCTTCCATTAAGGTTTCTAAATAATTTGCTTCTCAAGCTGGTGAGAAATTTCCACACATTAGATCTACAAAAAACATTTCGTATGCACAAGACAGTGTGCCAATCACAATTAGGTCACACTGCTTTGATAATTTTAATATTTATCAAGGAAAATCAATAGTTAAAAATTCAATCTTATCACACAATCATGAACTCTTAAGTGAATACTTACATTTTCTTCTAACAGATCACTCCATTTCAGTGATCTTCTAACACTGCAAACAAAAAATTTAAAGAAATCTTAGATTGAACATACTTTATCTTGAAGTAGCCAAATAGTCAAAGATCTATAAACAAAGATTCTAAGTGATTTCTGCCAAACAGTTTTTATATTTGTGATGACAGGTTTGTTTCTAATAGCACATTTCTAAATAGGATTATAATTAAATATTTAAAGAAATCACTTTTTTGTAGATGCAGTTTTATATGCATGAACTACCATGCAATTTAAATATTAGTCATATTATAAAAAGTCTTAGTAAAAAAAATTACTGCTTGTCTGCTTTAAAAGACCACTAATAAAAAGCTATACATAAGGGTAAAATAATTTACACACTTTTAATGGAGATGTTGAAAGTATATTATTTGCAGAAACAATGCACTAGATGTTAAAGGCATGAACAAGGTAAAAAGTTTTGCTAATTATTCTAGCTTTAAACATGATTCAGGGCAATCAGACTATGACTTAACTGAGGAACAGATGCTCTATGTCTTTATAAGTCCCCAATCCATAAGAAACTATTTTTTGTTTCCTTCACTAAACTGATTCAGGAATATGCCAGGCTCTCTCCGTGCAAAATCTGTTCTGCTAAACTGGATGCCCAGCTGTTGGTGACAATGCTTAGAAAGGAAAGCTGAATATTTATAATACTTTATTTCATACAGCTGTCTTCTAAAGAGCAGTCATCAACATTTTATTGAATGCAGGCGAAATGCTCAAAGGAGAAAAAGGTCAATATAAATTAATACTTGTTTTCTGAGCGACAAATGCAACTTTAAAAGTACTTTCTTGATTCCTGAGAAACAGAAATTAAGTAATTTAAAATATTAGAGAATTAGAGCATAAAGCAAAAGAAGACTACATATAAAGTTTGTATTATAGCACCCCCTCAATTCTGTATAGCTCCTAGAAAATTACTATTTATAAATAACTACTGATTTACAAAGAACAGATAGGAACAAGAAGAAAAACCAGAAGAAATGGTCAACCTAAGAAATACTGAGCAGTAACTATTAAGTACAAAAATTTAATCTAGTTAAAAAGGGCTTACTTTATTTTGCTTCTGTATCTACATTAGGCTTTCACAACATTATTTTTTGAGATCAAACTGATTTAAAGAATTACTTCTAACCTTTATAAATCCATTTAAAATCAATTTAATGTGAATTCCCAATGAAGCAAGAGAATAGAAGTACATACAAGTAAAAATGGCAGATGTTTTAAAAGATTTATACTTAGCTTTGGTATATTGCTCTGTTAGGGTATGTGAGATGTTCTAGTACCTATGACACTTCAAAAAATATAAATAAAAAACCTAAACTCATATTGTAGAGCATTTTTTATTCTTTGCTTTTAAATGCTATTAAAATGCAATACTATCGTTTAGAAGGACACAAACCCTACCTTCATATTTACTATTCAAAATATTGCTTTATTATTGATGGTTAATTCCTAGAAAAAGTGACTAAATCTTTGGATTTAAAATATTTACAGATTAGGTCCTACGTTGATCTAAGAAATCCAAGGAAATATTTTTTTAAAAAAAGAAAGAAAAATAAGCCCAGCAGGTCAAGGCTGTGATGGCCAGGAGCGTGCCACTGCACTCCAGCCTGGGTGATGAAGTGAGATTCCAAATCAAAAAAAAAGAAAAAAGTAAACAAGAAGGTGAGCTGAGTTAAAATAAACTGTCATCTCCCACTTTAATTATGTTTGGTGAATATCTATGACATGATTTATTGAGGGTAATATAGTGTTCAGTAGTTTAGGCATCTAATAACCAAAAGCCTAAATATTTACAAGAATCTTAAAGAGATTTAATAGACAAGACTAGAAGAAATCTAAGAAATCACTTAGTTCAGCCAGTTGGGAAAAGTTTGTACAGCTCACCTACTGTCATGCATCTTGAGGGAGAGAAACTCAGATCTGAGGTTCTGAACATAAACATCTTTGTTGAATTGAGGGGGGAGAAAATTTTTTAAAAAGAAGTAAAGAAAAGCAAACAAACTAGCAGGTTTATGATCACTGATTCTTAATGTTCTATTAGAACTGAGCCACAGCAAAGTTGTCTTTCATTAAATTAAGCACCTACACTTAATATACACAAGGCACCCTTTTACTCAGGAACAGCTGTAATACAAGCATGTGATGATCCTAAATTGAGATTAGGATGATGATTTTTTTTTTTTTTTTTTGAGTCAGGGATCTCACTCTGCTGCCCAGGCTAGAGAGTGCAATGGCACAATCACGGCTCACTGTAGCCTCAACCTTCTGGGCTCAGGCAATCCTTCTGCCACAGCCTCCTAAGTAGCTGGGACTATAGGGGTGTGCCACCATGCCTGGCCAATTTTTTGATTTTTTTTGTAGAGATGAGGTCTCGCTATGTTGCCCAGGATTGTTGCAAACTCCTGGGATCAAGCAATCCTTCTACTTCGGCCTCCCAAAGTTCTGGGATTACAGGTGTGAGCCACCACACCCAGCCTAGGATGATGTTAACAGGAAAAGAGAAGATGAAACATATAAAGACAGAATGTGTAATATGTGATTAGAAATATAGAATAAATATTCTTCTAAAATATGGATGCATTTGCTACCAGCATTAGTTAACAATTAAAAGTAATATCTTTCTGGTAGTCCTGTAAAGTTACAAGCAGCTCCTGTGGCTACTACCTTGGTTTTAAAAAATGGGCACAAAAAGTACACCAAGGACTTAAGTGTATATTTCGCAATGTATCTAAAGATATACTAGTGACCAACAGGCACATTAAAAGATATGCAACACACCTAATCATTAGGGAAATATAAATCAGAATCACAATAAGATATCACTTCACACCTACTAGGATGGCTACTATAAAAGAAAATAAAACAGAAAGTAATGAGTGTCAAGTGTTGATGAGGATGTAGAAAAACCAGAATGCTTGTACACTGCTAGTGGAAATGTGAAACAGTGTAGCAGCTATGAAAATAGTATGGCATTAGGTGTTGAAGGCATATGCGTACATATATGTATTATATATGCATAGCTCATACATACATATAAAAGGACATAAGTATATCCTTTAAGAGTCCCTATTGAAAGGGCCCAAATAGGTCCATCACAATTATAATGGCAGGTGGGTGATATTTTATGCACTTTTCTGTATAAATTATATTTCATAGCATAAAAATAATAAGCTAACATTGACATCTACTCTACCTTTGAGACGCCAACAGAATCATCTCTAAAAAGTTTCCCCAACACCGTCCAGCTTGCACTAAGACTCTTTCAACTCTATTCAACAGCACATGTGCATGACCCTCTCACTGAACTTATGTTGAAATAATCTATTTGTCTTTCCCCCCTAGGTTAAGACACTTTATATCACTAGCATCTTGTCTATTAACTGGTAGGTTATGATTTCTAAAAATGTTTGCTAAACATTTCTTCTATTAAATTTAAAACTCTTAGATTGTACAGTTCACATTTGAATCCCCAAAGCCTGATACAGTGACTGGCATAGGGGTGTTATATAAATCAGTGATTTGTTTAATCAATTGCATTTATTTTTTAGCTTAAAACATCAATCTCAAATTCAAGAATACATTTAGGTCCTTCAATTTCCTATAGTGCTCCAATTTTGTGGACTTAAATACTTTTGGTCTTAAATTCCTAGAAAAGACTTAAAGAAGATATTTCTATTATTTAAGTTAGTTTAAATACAAACGATGTCATTTAAACACAGTCTTATCTCTAAGGTAGTCCCTTATGTTGATTTGTGTCTCAACAGTTCTGGAAAAAAAAAATCTAAGCTATAATCTCTTCAAATATTGCCTCTCCTCCATTCTTCCTTTCAAAGACACTATTAAGAAGTAATTTTAGATTTTCTTGGTATATCTTCCATACCTCTAAACTCCTTTTTCATATTATTGTTCTTATGCTGCCTTTTGGGCAATTTTTTCAGATTTATCTTCAGTTGTGCCTAACCTACTGTTAAACCATCTATTAATTAAAAACATAAATAAGTAAATTTGAGGGTAACTTTTAATTTTTTTATAATTTTAAGCTTTAAAAAAGTTTCAAGAGTAACAATTCTTGTTATCCTTTACCCAAATTTACTAGTTCCTTCCATTTTGCCCCATTTGTTTTATCATCCTCTCTTCAAACACACACACACACACATATATATATTTATTACACATGCATAATACTTTTTCTGAACCACTGAGAATTATTTGAAGACATGGCACATCCTTACCTGTAAATATTCCCATGATTTTCTAAGAACATCCTTTGACATAAACACAATTATCAAAATAAAAAATGTGCCATAGTCCTTATTCAAATTCTATCGTTTTCTGAGTAATGTCCTTTTTTGACATTAAAGGCTATTTTTTTTATAATCAATATTTTTTATTATGATATTGCGGGGTACAGTTAAGAGTTAGGTATACAAATATGCTTTGTTCAGGCACCCTTGTTGATAAGAGGTGTCTCCCCCGTCCCCTGACAGATGTTTACTGCCATTAATC